CAGTTTCTTAAAACTGTACCGTTAATCCAGTTTCTTAAAACTGTACCGTTAATCCAGTTTCTTAAAACTGTACCGTTAATCCAGTTTCTTAAAACTGCACCGTTAATCTAGTTTCTTAAAACTGTACCGTTAATCAAGTTTCTTAGAACTGTACCGTTAATCCAGTTTCTGAAAATTGTACTGTTAATAAAGTTTCTTAAAACTCTACTGTTAATCCAGTTTCTTAGAACTGTACCGTTAATCTAGTTTCTTAAAACTGTACCGTTAATCCAGTTTCTTAAAACTGTACCGTTAATCTAGTTTCTTAGAACTGTACCGTTAATCCAGTTTCTTAAAACTGTAACGTTAATCCAGTTTCTTAAAACTGTACCGTTAATCTAGTTTCTTAAAACTGTACCGTTAATCTAGTTTCTTAGAACTGTAACGTTAATCCAGTTTCTTAAAACTGTACCGTTAATCCAGTTTTTTAAAACTGTACCGTTAATCTAGTTTCTTAAAACTGTACCGTTAATCCAGTTTCTTAAAACTGTACCGTTAATCCAGTTTTTTGAAAACTGTAACGTTAATCCAGTTTCTTAAAACTGCACCGTTAATCCAGTTTCTTAAACTAAGTCATAAATAAAATGTTATTTGTTTTTATGAGTATATATATTATGCGGTCAACGCATGAAAATTATTTTCTACAAAACATTTATTTTTGAATTATGTTTTAACTGCTATAAATGGACAGTTGTGGCCCTTATGAGTAGATATACTGCGATTGGATTAGGTTTTCATGGTGAACTGAAAGATGGTTAAACTTTTCTCTACTTATTTTGACATCAGTATTGAATTACACCATTTTTATTCAACATGCTCAATTTACTATTTTGACATGTTCGGTACATTTCATTCCAGGATCTTAACATCTAATTACAGGATTTAGTAATGCCCTTCCAACGGTGGTCAGTGTTTTAAATTACTCTAAGAACTTATGACTGAAAGCAAAGGGAAGTATGATGTAATATGTCAGCCAGTCTACATCTGCCATATTCAGTGTCGAAGAGGCCTTTTGATCAATACCAGGACTCATCAGGCCGGCTGAGATACGACAGTGATATAACCGCTATCTATATCATTAATTTTCATCAACAGTCACTGTCTTGGTTTATCGGTAATTAAGGTCCAGCTTACGACAAGCAACTTTTACCCACTCCAATTACGTTTGTGTTCCCATAGCAACGAGGCGATCAATACCAAGTTACTTGTCTGAAAATGGATTTTTCTACAGACGTGGTGTACGTAGTGTTGAACTAAGAAACCGTTACTTGGTTCCTGTTCTTTATGAAGTCTGGTTTATTTTCTTGAATACAATTGTACCGTTCTCTCTCATGTCGTAGTCAAGTAGGGGAAGCTATTTGTTTAACTTTGTCAGCTAGCGTCTGTTATTTAACTCTAGAGTTACCGATGTCTCCCTGTTGTCTTCCAATACAAATGTCTATCAACTACTTGTATTCCCGATTTTATTGTTTACTGGGTTTCTAGTAACGTCACCAAAGGTTTGGAAACAAAAGTACACTTGTTGTTCATGTAATTAATAAATAAAACAGTATCTACATACTTACTATGTCTGTCGTATCCGAGCCAGCCTGATTATCATAGTATTAGGCGAAATATCTCGTCGGTATTGGATGTGGTAAATATAGTGTGTTGACTTACTATTTTTATGGCTTCACATTGTAACAGTCAAAAACATAAAATAATGCAATGTATCGGTAGTAAACAGTGTCAAAACAAGTAGGCCATTTGAAGGTTGAAGTTAATTTTCGTCCGTTATAATTTGACAACCTGTTTGTTTGTTTTGAATTTCGCGCAAAGCTACACGAGGGCTATCTGCGGTAGCCGTCCCTAATTTAGCAGTGAAAGACTGGAGGGAATGCAGCTAGTCATCACCACCCACCGCCAACTCTCGGGCTACTCGTTTTACCAACGGATAGTGGGATTGACGACGGCCACATTTTAACGCCCCCACGGCTGAAAGGGCGAGCATGTTTAGTGGGACGGGGATTCGAACCCGCGACCCCCAGATTGCGAGTCGAGCAGACCGGGCCGTCGACATCCTATTTACAAAATTAATTTCTATTTTGGTATTGTATAAAGGTGCAGATAAAAAGGTGACTGAAATATCGAAAAACACTTCACTAGATATAGCACGTTTG